ATCTATATATATATATCATAATTAATAAATGGTGTGTCGTAATTAGACAAATACATCCCTTCAATAATATAATATATACGTTTATTTGTTGTATGTATTAATATAATGTGTTGAAATTAAACGAATGGACGTAAGCCTCACTTTGACTATGTATATATATACGTAAAATAAGTCATAACAATGATGCCACTAAATTACATGTTTGTCAACACATATCAGCTGGATGTAAAAAGGATAATTTTGGTTCTCATTTACTTGTTTCTTAAATTTCTTCTCCTTGGAGGTCAAATGAAAGATACATTAATGGTGGCCTGAGCAGAGAATTAGTAACAAGATTTTATAAAATAATAAAATGCTACACGCAATTGAGAATTGATCCCTTCAAACCTTCATGATCATCAATAGCTAGCAACACATTGAATCAATTTTTGTCATATGCCAAGAATTTGATGACCCCTTCCCTTCCCCTAACCCAACGCCATTGTTAATTCTTTGAAAACTTGACAGAAACAAACACGTGAATTTGAATCTATTAATTTAACAAAGCGGAGATACAATTTCACCGGCACGTTTTTATATTAAAAGATTTAAAAAAACAAATGTAAAATATATAATATTGATAGGCATTGTTATAAAGCAGTGAATTGGATATAGGAAACCTAATCCTTGTTAACGTCATAAATTAATGTGAAGAACTAGGTTTCGGTATTGACTTTCATTTGAGCTTGGTTCTATATGAGGTCCCGTAAAACTATTCTTATCAACAGTGGCGGATCCATAAAATTTTTTTAGGATAGGCCAAAATAAAAACTAATTATATATTAATATTTTTATTAGGGTGGGTCAAAATCCAAAAATTATATATATTAATATTTAAAAAAAAAATTGAGAGTGGGTGGATCCGCCCCTGCTTATCAATGAGATTGATACCAATAAACTACCTCTGGGTAGTTTGGCAGTTTGCTTGAGACTCTTGGATGTATTATTCAAGTGGTTTTGAGTTCAAATTCCCATGATTACTAATAAAGAGTAGTCATTAGCTTGATTAGTAAATACGGGTACGGCAAAAAAATAGTACGAGAATTTTACAGGTATGATATGATAAATGATGAAAAATATGTTTGTAAAAATTCGGATATGGAAAAAATACGGTATGGGTATATACGGGTTTAATACAGCACATTGTCAATAATACATTTTGAAAAATATGGCAATATCAATCATAGTTTTAGCACTTTTCATGGGCCATTTGGTTAAAATCGATATAGCATTTCAAATATACGAGTACGGCAAAATAATGGTACGGAAATTTTACGGGTATGATACAAGAAACGATGAAAAATACATTTGTAAAAATTCGGATATGGGAATAATTCGCGAATAATAAGGCTGAGGCATATAATTCACGAATAATACGATTAGGCTGATAAAATACGACAATTCGCAAATAATACGTGAATTATATAGTTCGGTGTATAATACGCGAATTTACTAATTAGGGCCATTAGAGGTTTACGTGGCTATTAACTTCAGGATCCAAGGAGAATAGTTGAGATATATGCAAGCTAGTCTAAATACGAACAAAAATAAAAAAAGATTGATACCAGTATTTTATTGCGAGGCAATAATATTAACAAACTATAATTTTCATCTGAAAATTTAGGATCCTTTGGTTTGAGATCTAATGATAATTTTCAAAATTAAGATATAACCCAAAATTAGACTTGTATCTTAAAATATATATTAACATAATACCCAAACACTTTTTTCTAATTAAAAGATTATGGAAATATAGAAAATGAGTTTTGTTTATCTATCTTATATTGATATTTTAAATTATATCCCAAAATTTAATCCCAAGAACATACGTTTTCCTTATGTTTGGGCCTTACTTGAGCAAACCTTCATTTTATTAAGTTTACCCAATTCGGTCCAAATTCACTTATTTAAGTCCATTAAAATACTCGACAATAATGGAGCAAATTAGCAATATATTGCTTTCTCGTTATGGTTTCCTCCAAACGATTTAGAGTGAAGATTTACAAGACTACCAATTTCTTTACAAGAAGTATCTCATAAAAGATATTTTAGATTACATAAGTGGAGACTTCGGTCTCCACAGTCCACACCCACTTCCTCCATTTTCGCTCTCCCACTGGTAGAAGCCATCAACGGTCTTGCAAGGCCACAACGTTGCCCAAGCAAGGTTGTGATTGTGACCTTGTAAGGTCACTGTTGTAGCCACAATGGTGACCTTTACAAGGCCAATGCTGTTGAATAACTATTAGCCACATTTGTTAGCATATGTCACTGATTAAACGTATAAAGTAGTAATATCTTTGTTGCAAAATTAAATGATGCTTTGGTTGGATAGTTTTAACTTTTTTTTTTCACTTTTATATGACTTCACATCTTGATTATATAACAATAGTTGAAGACGGAGTAGACATTAAACGTGTTATTTGAAATAAGATTAGAGATATTAATGTAGATTTTTCCTAGTTAATTACTTCAAAAGGTAACAAATTTGGTATAATAAATTAATGCTATAGATTTTTCATGAGATGTTCTCAAACAAGGAGTATAATCATCATGAAGACATTATCTGGATTCCAACATCAAGAAGGCAAACCTCGATGCAATACTGGAATGGTTTACAATATCATTGATTGAGAGCCATAATCAGGTGCTTAACATGGCCTGAGAAATACTTCCGAGAATGTTCTAGGTTATACCATCAACAAAATGCGGCTCATTGATTAAGGGCATAATTCTCAAACTACTAAGAGCCACAATCGGGTGCTTGACATGGCTTGAGAAAACTTTGAGAATGTTTTACATTACAGTTCCAACTTGGGTACCCAAATCTCGGTTCTAGTTCCTTGAACTGGTGCAATCGGTATCGGAATCGCAAAGTATCGGTTCCATACGTTTGTGAACCAAAACTAACTCGTACAGTGTCAGTTTCAGATAAGAATTGGAACCAAAACACCGAGTACCTGTCGGTTCCTTTGCACACCCCTACTTGAAATGACTTTGTTGACCATTAGTTGACCATGTGTTGGGTTTATGGTAGTATGATTATCGTAATACCCTTTCAAATTTTAAAATATTATTGACATATACATATTTTATACCCGTAACTGAATAATGAAATGACATTTTATAATAGGGTTTTTAAAATTTTATTAGCCAATTATAATATTTTCCTCTAGGAAATGACGATACTACCCAAAACTGTTAACAAAAAAAAAAAAAATAAAAAAAANATTACATAACAATAGTTGAAGACGGAGTAGACATTAAACGTGTTATTTGCAATAAGATTAGAGATATTAATGTAGATTTTTCCTAGTTAATTACTTCAAAAGGTAACAAATTTGGTATAATAAATTAATGCTATAGATTTTTCATGAGATGTTCTCAAACAAGGAGTATCATCATCATGAAGACATTATCTGGATTCCAACATCAAGAAGGCAAGCCTCGATACAATACTGGAATGGTTTACAATATCATTGATTGAGAGCCATAATCAAGTGCTTAACATGGCCTGAGAAATACTTCCGAGAATGTTCTAGGTTATACCATCAACAAAATGCGGCTCATTGATTAAGGGCATAATTCTCAAACTACTGAGGTCTGAGAGCCACGATCAATTGCTTGACCTGGCTTGAGAAAACTTTGAGAATGTTCTACGTTACAATTTCAACCCGGGTACCGGTGTCGGAATCGCACAGTATCAGTTCTATACATTTGTGAACTAGAATCGACGTAATTCTCAAACTACTGAGAGCCATGATCAAGTGCTTGACCTGGCTTGAGAAAACTTCGAGAATGTTCGACATTACAGTTTCAACTCGGGTACTTAAATCTCAGTTACAGTTCCTTGAACTGGTGGAACCAGTATCGGAATCATACAATATCGATTCTATACATTTGTGAACTAGAATCGACACGTATGTAGGAACTAGAATCGGAACACCGGGTACCTGTCGGTTCCGAGTCCACTAGGAAATTTTGCACACCCCTACTTGAAATGACTTTGTTAACCATTATTTGACCATGTGTTGGGTTTATGGTAGTATGATTACCTTAGTACCTTTTCAAATTTTAAAATATTATTGACATATACATATTTTATACCCGTAACTGAATAATGAAATGACATTTTATAATAGGGTTTTTAAAATTTTATTAGCCAATTATAATATTTTCCTCTAGGAAATGACGATACTACCCAAAACTGTTAACAAAAAAAAAAAAAATAAAAAAAAAAATTGAGGAGTCGTTAGAACCAAGAGGTGTATTTGAACAATTATTGAAAAGGCAGGGTAGTTTTGGTATGATATACACATACTTAGCGTAAGGGTGTACTATATGAAAACTCGAGGGTGGTTTTTGAAATTATATTGTAAAGCACGATATGAATATGAACCCAAATCGGGCCGAGCTAGGTTGAGCTTTAGATTTCAACCCATTGGACCTTGCCGAAGCACACCCCAAGCTGGCTTGTTCTTGGCACTGTCCATTCATGTTTTTTATTTTTTTAAATTTAATTTTATATTAAATTACGTTATATTTATATTCTATTTTAATATTAAAATTATATTTATTTATAATTTTCTTTTATATATATATACTAATTTGAGTATTATCTCACATTTTTAAATCACTTAATTACGCATGAGCTTTTATGATTTATGAGAAAATTATTTAAATTAACCCTTTCTTAATTTGAATTAAGTTTGAATTTTTTTATAAATATAACAAAAAAAACACATTTGAAATAATAAAATAAAAATATTATAAAATGTCAAGAATTGGGAATCAAGAAATAAATTATAATCGTATTTTTAATAAATTGAGCAATAAAAAAGTTTTATAATTTAAATACCATTAACCTACTCCACCTCACAAATTCAACTTTACTTGATATATAAACATATAGTTGAATTCAATATACAGCTTATACTACTAAACAAGTCTAAGCATATATTGATGCTCATTAAGATAGCAAAACACAAATGCAGAATAATTAATTTCCAAAGGAGATCATATAAAATTACAGTTATAATAATAACCCACCAATATCCTTTTTTTTTTTTTTTTTTTTTTCCAGATAATCAGATAACTACTTCAATTCCTCTTGTTTTGTACTGTATTGCACAAGATTAGAGGGCTGTTAGAAAAAAGTTTGAGCAAATCTATACAGGCACGGGCATTGTTATCACCTTAAATTAACCACCCTGTTTTCCGTTTGTCTGACTCTTTGTTTCGACACAACATCGCCAGTTAAAACACTTTAAGCAGGAGCAGGAGGGTCTCAAACATGAAGGGCATTTTGGAATCTGGCAACATTTTACACAGCTTGGTATCCAACATGAAGGGCACTTTGGTTTCCAGGAGCATTTTATGCTGCTGCAGACGGGTTTCGGGCATTCTGGGCATTTGGGTCTCCAGCATTTTATCCAACAGCACCTGTTTGTTGACACTGATTTGGTATTATTGGACCTTGATGGTAATCGGATAGTTTGCCGAATCTTATTCAGGCGGATTTTGGTGTTCATGTTCTCCATTTCTTGAATAAACCTGAAAAGATGGCGGATGTAATCAGGGTATAGCTCCAAGTTGCAATGCCCACCTCCTTTAATCCACAAGGGCTCGAATGGCTCTCGAGCCATTTTCCACAGTTTATTTCCATGTAACCAGTTCACTACATCGTCTTCTGTTCCCTGTAAAATTTTGAAGTAGCTCTATTAAAATATTTGACAACAACAAAAATTCTGATATACATAAATCAAATAGATAGAAGAGAGGATTTATTAGCTAAAATGTGAGCAACATATCCATGAAAAACAAGCACAGAAAAGAGAATGCTCTGTAACAAGATACAATGATGAAACCCCAAGGATTTCTCTGGCGCGAAGATGATTTTTTTTTTTCTGCATCATGTACATTTTCAGTCTGTACAATAGTAATATTGTATTGGTTGAGGTTAACCACCATTATCGGAGCACGTTATGTATGATTGATTGATGTAATCAAGACGATGCATGATAACAATATAGGAAATTAAAAGATGTCAAACCTGCACGCATGCAGATTGATTTATGTGATAAAGGTGCAAGATAAGAAAAAAAAAAAAAAAAAAATTAAAAGATGTCAAACCTGCACGCATGCAGATTGATTTATGTGATAAAGGTGCAAGATAAGAAAAAAAAAAACAAAAGATCATGTTACATGTGTGGTTCAGAAAAAGTGAATAAGAACTCTAAAGTCTGATAAAATTATAAAAAAAAATAATGTGGAAAGCAAGTAGTGGCTGTCCTTGAATTTAATTTGGGCTGGCTTGAAATTTTTTCAAAATAATATTTAATTATAAACAATTCTTTTTTGGATGAATCTAACATAAACCTAAGGAGAATGGTTTCAATAGCTACATTTAAAGTTACAAATTTGGTCAACTGAACAACACTGCAATAGCAACCTTAACTTTCTTGTCTGACTCGAACACGATGTAACAACAAGACTAAATGTACCAAATGTAGTTCAGAAAAAAGAATGAATCGTTTATATATGCAGCGTAAATTAGTATTCTCTTAAGTAACTGAAAACTTGATCCCAATGATCTTACTCCAACAAAGTGAATGAAAATACAGATAAAAATATATGCTCCAGAGTGGAAAAAGTTTTGAGTATCTTTGAACATGCATTGTGTTCGGATTCAGGCTTTATTGAGTTCATCAGTAATAATTTAACTATAATTATAATGACGGATCACAAATAATGATTTATTTAGTCTAAAAATGAACCACGGAAGAATTAATGTTTTTGGACACCATAAGAAAAGCGCTACTACGTTAAGTGTAAATGGCACCAAGTGTAAATGGCACCGACTCAATAAAGCTTTGGAAGCTGAATCTACTAGAGGAAGTTTAGCATTACATAAAAAGGCCGAATAAGTGTTCTGATCAGATCATAGCAAAATACATACAAATGGAAAATGGAAAAATTCGAGATCTACAACATTCAAACAATTCAGAAGGTACTTACATGTATTACGAGTACTGGGCACTTCACCTTCTGAATTTTGTTGATATTCTGCATTTATGAGAACAATGAACGGCTCAGACATTGCAGCTCAATTAGCATAAACACCAAAGTCCAAACATAATTCAGATCAACGAACCATGAAATAGAGCAAATTAAGTACATGATACATGCCGATTGGTGGACATCTATATTATAAATAATAACGACCATGATAGATCCTTACCGCATATATGTCAAAGCAAAATGTGAATTTCACATGGCAGAGTACACGAAGGCCAGAAAGGATGCCACTATGCAGAACTACACCCCTTAGCCTGGGCAATTTAGATGCCAAGTGCAGTGTTGGTCCACTGCCAACTGACTGCCCATATAAAATTAAGTCTTCCTGGCTTACTCCATACTCAGTCTGAAGACACTGATAAACAGCCTCTATATCAGCGTATGTATTCGATTCACTGGGCTGTACATCACAAATGGCAGAAAATAAATCCATTAAAGTAACCAAACGCGATAAGACTACGAATGTAACACGATCTAACATATATATCAAGTTATCAAATAAACCAAAACTTGGATCTGACCATAAAAATTAAAAATTAAGCAAGATTTTGAAATTGCTATCACAATCAAAAACACATGATGCAAAGCATAATCCAATCTGGGGAATGAGAATGAGAACCTACCTTGCCAGTGGAGGCTCCATAGCCAGAATAATCGTATCTGTATCATAAAATTCAGTAGATGTAAAGAGAGGAGAAAAATAAGATGAAGAAGAAAGAAGGATGAAGTATCAGCAAGATCTAAATTATAAGAAATACTATGCCTGAAATGACAAACAAAAGCATTTCTCCAGGATAAAGTGAAAGATATATTATATTACAGCGTTTAACAGGCACAAAATTCAAAGAAACTAAAGCATGTATAGCTTCTAATCTCAACCAAATAAAACAGTAAAAATCAAGGTCATTTACTTTAAGCAGGAAAAAAAATGAAAAGTTAAAATGAAGAACAAGAAAAAGTGGAAAAAGACTGGTTAGAAACAACAAAACTATACCACCCTTTTTTTCTACCACTTTTTCAGTTTGTAAAAAATAGGACAACCCTGAATGAAATGGCCATTAATTAGGAGAATAAACTTAACATTTAACTAACATAATTACAGATCTAAGACCAAACTATAAAAATCAGACCTAATAGAAAATGCTAGAAAAAGTTTCTCCGTCTCATTAAGCCTAAGATCACACAAAAGATAAAAAAAAAAAAAAGAAAAGAAACCTATGAAACAAGCCTAACACAAAACAAACAGGATTAGCCTTTACACAAACAGGTTTTTGAGAGAGAAAGACATCAACAGAAAATCACTAATCCTTTTCAAAAACAAAGCTAAAAGATGGGATGTTTTAAGAAACCATTAACTTCAAACAAAATAATACTAACCCCATGAGATTGACTCTGAGATTAACTTTGAGCTGGACAAAGAGATCATAAAGCTGGCCAAGGTCAGCTGCATTGCCATGAGAGTAGAGAAGAGTGAGTCTCGCATAAGGGTTTTTCAAGTAGAAAGCCACAATCTTGTTGCCACGCTTAGTATCAATCAACAAGATATCCAAAGAAGTGTCATCAGCAACAGGGATAGGCATTGAAGAAGAAGAAGCAACCACCGCCAGCTTCCCATTCTCACGCTTCTCGATCTGGTATGTAGGCGGAGTCGGTGGAAAAAATGCAAACTTTGAAGCTAATTGAGAGAACATACACCCCATTCAACCCCCCCACCAAGATTCAACACAACCCCAACTCATCGAACAAACAACAAGCAGCTTGAATACATGAGGATATGGGGTTGTTCCTTTAATGGCTCATGCCTTCCTTAATATTCAGATAGAGAAAAAGAAAGGCTCAAGCAAATGATAAAGGTGACGGTGGGTTTCCTAGGGCAATGGGTTATAGTTTTTGTCTAGTTAGATTTATGAAACATCATTTAAGTTCCAAGTGGGGTAATATATTACAACAACAGATGCAGAGTTCATGAAAGGAGAGAGATGGTGAAGGTTTTGCAGAGTGCTACAGTGCAGTAGTGACAGTAACAGTAACAAAAGAGTGCGTGGTGTGGAGTACTATTAGCAAAAGAAATAGAGAAAAAGAAAAAGAGAGTCTCTGCAGGCAGAATATGATTTGTGAGGTGAGTAGTGACAAGTGAAGGCAGGTGGCAGAGAGCCAGAGATTCAAGAGAGTGAGTGTACAGAAGAGGAGAGAGAGAGAGAGTCTCTAGACGGTGCTTTCACTTCAAAATAGAGTTCATAAAACAAGATTATGTGTGCATGACTTCAATTGTGTGTCAGAAACTCAGTTGTATTTTGTACACAGAGAGAGAGAGAGAGAGAGAAGGGTCAAAATATTTACCTCTCTTTCTTCCTGTTCCTGCAAACGTGGTTTACAGAACATTATTTATTTTGGCTTGTTTTATCAGATTCATGCATACTCTCTTGCGGGTATCTAACTGAGTCAAACTCGCTGGGTGCTGAAGACTGAAGACTGAAGAGAGAGATGGGGTTCTGTGTTTTCTTTCAAAAATCAAATCAAAAGGCTTTTTTTTTTTTTTGATATTCCCATTAACATCACTCACTGCAACTGCCTTGGTTTCTAAGATGTCATCAATTATTTTGTTGAGAAAAACTCCTTCATATTTATTAATTATACTTTAGACATAATAATAGTAAAGTGGATTTGTTGTGATTTTATTATTTATATAACTTCTTAATTGACGGAATTGATAATCATTTCTTAGATAAATATATTTAAATTTTATAATTATCATAATTAAAGATTTTGAATTTCTTTTTGCAATGTTTTGTTTACAGATTTTGCCCTAGCAAGTCAAACATTTGGAAAAAGATAGTGAATTTAATTAGTAATTGACCGTGTTTTTATTATCTATCATTGACAAAATTCTTATATCTTTATAGGTCAATCGATCGTTAACTTTATATTATATCGGTAAACGTTAATGATTTCTTCAAATTGATATAAAATCTCTTAAGTTTCACGTAAAGATTAATGAAATTTGAAACTTTATAACATTCTGTCTATTCGATAAATATATAAATTATAAAACAGTATTGCATGTAAATAAGGCCAAAACCAAGGTAAACAGTTGAAGGTTGAGGGATTAATTGTTAGTATAATACTAGGTCTACAACTCAATCTTCTCTCATAACTTTTGACATAACAGCTCGCGATAGATATCGTCTGTTTGTATGAGTCTTGTCTGTTCATTTACAAACTAACTAATAATGAATTATTACGTCTGAAGTTTTAGAAGAAAGTTTGTAAGTGAAGATCTAGTCCTAATATTATTATAATTGTTATATACAAAAAAATCTTAAACATGAATTCGTCGTGTAAAATGTGAAACTGATAAGACATGTTTTGGATCTGAGATTGATGATGGTAATAAAACAAAAAAACAATTAGGGCAAAGGTTGGCCAAGAAGAAGCCAGCGTTGGGAGCAGTGAGGAAATTGGATAATTATGTGAGCATTTTTGGCACCTCATAAATGCAACCAAAATACACAACTTGCCTTTTGCATTTCCATTCCCATCACAAATTATTAGGTAAATACAGTATCATAGTACCAGCAACCATGCCCAACTTTACTGTATCCATTTACCAACCAACATTACTTACTGTTTTCTTGGTACTTGCCTTCCCAAAGGAGGAAAGTCTTTATCTTCTACAAGCTGTAAAATTCAACTCAACATGGGTTGTCTTCAGAATTTAATTTTTTTTTTTTTTGTTTAAAACCCTAATTGAAAAATATTTATAGGGATAATTTTGGCAGCCACATGAAAATAAAAAGGTGATAAGCATGATTAAGCATATTTTTGCAATCATCTAATGAGTGAATTAGTACTATAACTTTCAAAATTTTCAGCTGCCCACCTTTTACTTTTCACATTTAGATTATCAATAAAAAAAAGGCACAGGCGGCCAATGCTTTAATTTCTTCCTAAATCTTAATTTGTCTTCTTTCGATTTCTCTTAGATTCTTTACTTCTAACAATGAAATTGCTACAATTACTAAAAGGGGAAAGAAAAAGAAAAGCTACTATAAATGCATATAAATTTATGCCTACTTTTAACATCTTGAATAATTTTTAAAGAAAATGCATGTAATGTCATTCAATATCTATAACTTTCGAATATAAGGGGTTGGCGTGACAGTAAAAAAGATTTGCTCTCTTCTAGGGGTGGATCTAGTTAATTTTTTTTTTTTTTAAATACTAATATATGGGTGCGTTTGGTTCAGTATTTATATCCCTATTCTCTAAATATTGTTTAGCACATTATTCCAGAAATATTACTATATTTTTTTAATTACTTTTAGATCCCTTAAGCTTATTAATTTCATTAAATACCCCCAGAAAAAAAAAGTTTAAAAATTAACAAAAACACCCCCATCAACCAATGCTTGCCAGATTCCGACAACCACCGTCGGTGGTAACCGGAATCTGTACAATGGCCTACCTGCCGATCAGAAATGGCCGATAGTTCACCGATCTGGCCGGAAAAAGCCAGATCTAGTCGTTAGCGACGGCCAAATCTTGGTCATCGTTGATCGAAAACGACGGCCAAAGATGGACTTCTTTGGCCTTTTTCAGCCAGATCCATGGTGGATTTGGCCGGAAAAGGCCATAGCGACGTGTTACGACACAGATCCGACCGTTCTGTGTCATAACAAAAATTTTCGGGGCCGGACTCTGGCACTGCGGGTGGTGGGGGTGTTTTTGTCATTTTATATATTAGAGTCTTTAATTAAATTAGCAAACCTAAGGGCTTTTTTCATAAATTTTTTAAGTTTACCTCGTAATACTCCCCTATTCAGCTACCCAATATTATTCCTAAAATCCTATCCAAAATAATAAACCAAACGCACTCATAATTTTTGGATTTTAGTCCACCCTAACAAAAATATTAATATGTAATTAGTTTTTATTTTGGCTCACCCTAAAAAAAATTTATGGATCTGCTAATGCTCTCTTCTTTGAGTTCTTAGGTTTAAATCTTGAGATCATCTACCACAATAATATTGTAGTTTATATGGTCATCTGGGTTTGTAAGATATTCAATGGACGTTGGAAATTAGTTGATGTAAGCCCAAACTGGGTTGGACACCCTTTTTACCAAAAAAAAAAAAAAATACTTGCCAAAAATATATATATTTTGTTATTCAATAAAAACTTGGAGATTAGTTATTTGATAAATTTTGTGTTTGCATTTGATATTTTTAATCTATAATATTGTACTATCTCCTTTTGTAATATATTTTACAAATTTTATATTATGAATTTAAATGGATGAAAATAATTTGATTATATTTTATTAAAAGCGAAAAAAAACAAAAATCATGTCTATGTCTACCTTATCTTAGAAAAGCTAAGAAGGGCCCAGTCGCAGTGGTGAGGGTGCATCCAAAACGCTGAGATCAAAGCCACGTGGCACAAGTTGGTGTTACTGATGACTTGTTTGTTTCACAGCACTCCAACAAAAAGCTGCACCTGTTTCCCAATGAAGGGGCAGAGGCGGGTGGCGCGTGGGCCTTACATTCCACTTGTCATCTGAAATCAAGTTCAATCTCACTTTCGATTTGTTATTTGACTTATGCACAATCTAAATTACAGGACCCATCAGTTTGATGATTCCTCACCCCCACTTTTTGTCCTCTGTTTGGCTGCCACGTGTTACCTTAGGGTTATCCATGCAATTCTAAATGAAATATGTTAAATAAATTACTGATTTTATAAATTTTATTCAATAATTCATCATATAAAATGTTTGAAATTAAATCTAAATTATATTTGTATTGTTTAATTAATAATTGTTATGAACTTCGAGAAAGTCAATGGCTTAAATATATGATTGAGTCAACATGAAGTAATTAAATAAAAAAGAGGTGAAGGTGGAGGACACAATTAATTGTTTGTCGTTCTCTTCAAAGAAAATAATTAGTTCAAAGAGTGAATAATAATTAATATAATAATTCTTAGAATTGACAATTTTAAAAGCAAATATTATTTCGTAGCTACCAATTATCTTTCATAATATCACCATACAAAACAAACCAACTTTCATCATTTTTTTTTTTTTTTAGTAATTAATTTTATTTTTTATTATAAGAAATATAAAGAAAATGTTGAAGGGTGAAAGTAGGTATAAATTATAATAAAACAGTAGTAGAGTGCTTACGGCACAATCTTCAGTTAAAATTTGTATCGTTAAATGAAATATTAAAAATAAAATATTAAGTAAAAGGGTAGTTGAGGATGTGAGATGATTCGGAAACCTCGTGCATGCAAACAGAAACTAGTAATATCAATAAATTAATTAACCTTGATGTAATTAAAATACAAACATACAAGAACATAAAAGTGATTCTGGGGGTTTTAAAAAAATCGAAAGGTGCAGTGGGAAAAGTGCTTTTTTAGGTTCCCCTTGCATATGAAACAAACATCTAAAAGAAGAGACACAGCCAATTAAAGTTGCAGAAATTTGTTTGAGTGTCACAGTTCGTTGTCGTTTTGCTTACCACGTGAGGGCCACCCATTTTTCTTACTTGTTAAATGTTCCTTCACCCAACTTTATCATGTCGACGTCTATATATTTCATTGAATCAAATAATTAAGTACAAAAATTATGAAAATAAGCTAATGAACCAACAAGTTAGTGAATAAATAAGTTAAATGAGTGAATAAATAAATCAGTATAAATAGTAAGTTAATGAATAAATTAGTACAAATAAACAAGTGAATAAATACATTATTATAAATACACAAGTTAGTTATGAATAAACTAATGAACAAATATAAGTTGCAAATAAATAAGTTAACTTACATAAATTATTTAACTTATTTATTTATATATAGATTAATAAATATATAAATATATGAAACCCGTGTGTGTATGTTTGTGCTTTATGAACAATTTTACCCTTGTCCATGATTCCTTTCATTAGAGGAAGGAAAAGCAAAAAATGCCCGTATCTATAAATGATTTTAAGATAATACTATGTTTCTTACAAACGCAACGTAATAACTTACAATTGAACTATCATTTTGCATTTGTGAAAAAAAGTTAATGCAAAGAGTTTATCAACTTATCTTTATTAATGGTTTTAAACACACAAATGAAAACGAGTCAAGAACTCTCTTGGAAGAACAAGATTACAAGCAATGTTTTAAAACCCAACCCGGGGTGAAACCCGGCAAAGTTTTCGAGTCTCGAGTTGACCGGTTTGACCGTACAAAAACTTTTAAAATTCAGCAAATACACCCCTAAAAATTACAGTTAAGTCCTTATAGATTTGAAATTTGGCAAACACACCCTAAATACAAATCGGTCGATGCTGGTTGGCGGCGGCGACACCCCAGATGCAACCCCAATCATCCCTTGAGCCCATTCCCTTTAAAATATACCCAAGATCTGGCCAAAATAAGTTCGATTTTAGCCAAATCTCACTGACGCCGACGTCGGCATTCCAAGCC